GAGAGGGAGGGAGGGAGAGGAGTATAAGCTCCCTGTAGGGTTTCTCACTTGAGTGGGTTTTTTTTTTTTTGGTTTCTATTCTACCATCAACAAACAAGTGAGAACCAGGAGGAGGAGGTGAGGTAGAAAGGAAGGAGTATGTTAAGTCTGAGGCACTGAAAAAGAAAAAAAGGAGGGGGGGCAAAATAAGCGAAAAGTTTGAGGCACTTGAAGTGGTACATCCAGGCTCAGGTGTCTCATGTGCAGTATCCAGAGAACGTCGGCTCAGTTCAGAGCTCCATTTAGAAGGGCACTTGGAAAAATTGTAGAGTTGGTTGCCTCCCATCCAGGCCATAGTGGAGGTAGAAATAGGTTACAGAAGGACAACTAAAATAATCAAAATGTTCGGAGCTAAAGGGAAAGGAAGCTACCTCATGGAAATGGATCTGAGCAGACCACCACAGCCTGGGAGGAAGACTCGAAGATGTAGTAGTCATTGCCTGTGAGATCACTAGGGGAGAAGGCAAACGTTGATCATCAAATGATGACTCGCAGGAGAAGATCTCCTTCGGAATTTGAGCAAGGTAAGTTTTGAAGACAAACGAACTCACCATTTAACACATTTTAGCGTAAAACTCCAAGAAGTTGTACAGCTCAGGAATATAAATAAATACCAATGTGTCATTGGATAAGTTGCAAATAAAAAGACATAAAAGTCTTGTTAGGAAAATGTTAAAGAATCCTTAAATGTTGCTCTCAGGATGAGGAGGTACACCTGTGGCTTGTGCCTTTGGGTTGCTACTGCTGTGGGGATTCAGGCTTAAACAGTATGACCTAGTATCACAGTTGTTGGGAAAGTTACTCATCATGGAAATTCAATGATTTAGTCAGTTGCTTAAATGTAAACTGCAAAAAAGGGTGCAACTAGAATACTGATTTAGATTTCTAGAGAATAGGATGGTATGTGTGTGGGTAAGGGTAAAGTTGAGGAAGAGAGGTTACAGTAGCCCTGGAATTAAATCCCAGCTTGCCAAATACTTGCTGCATATCTGATCTCTTCCCTCTACCCCCTGCCTCCCAGCTTTGCTACTGGTCATTAAATTATAGGTAAGGCTGGAGGGCAGTGTGGCATGTGACAGCAAGGAGGAGGGATGGGGAGACAGCTTGATCGTCCCTCCAAAATGGTGCAAAGGGTAGGAATTGGGCCGAAGGGAGTCAAGAAAGGTAGACCTATGGGCCACCAGAGTTGGTTGAGGTCAGCTGTGTAATTTTGTACCGTGTGTTTTGTGTTGTGATGCTGCTGGTTTATGATCAGCA